GGGGGGGGGGTAGGGGAGGAAATCTCAGTTGTACTGATAGTTCTATGTACATCTCAGTAGCATTAAGAGACCCAGTAAAGGCTGTTTGTTCGGATCAGTCATGACTAGCAGTGGTGCAGAGGCACTCTCTCTCCCTGAAGACTTAGAAAGATGTTACTCTACTTTATATTTGACTTGTGAAAACACGCAACCCTTGCAGTCAAAGGAGGACTGTGTCATCTTTTTTGTGAAATGTAAGATTTAATTCTACAGAATTTGATGGTCTACGGCAAATGGATTTTTCAACTCCTTTTAAAGGTTTAATCTAATTCAACTAATATTTTTCCTTTGACAGAAAACAGAAATAGTTTCCTTTTTAAAAACAGCCAAAAGTCTAAATATTAAGATAAAGAACTAAATAGTAATACCTGAATAATAGCTAAATACAATACTATTTTTACTGTTTGCCAACACTGTACACAGGGGATACACAGGCTGACTTATAAGTAGGATAGACAATTTTGAGACAGGTTTTTAACACGGCAGCAAGTTGTTTCAGCATGCCACTGGCTGCCATACAGGCATATCCAATGATGAACGTACAATCAAATTTAACCTTCTAAGTACTGGAGTAATACCTTAAAATATTAAGGGTGAAATTCTCCTTTCACTAAAGCAAAATTGGGCTGTGCCATGACTTCAGTAAGGTAAGGATTAGACATTTTTTCCACAAAAACTCATGAACAAAACAAAGATACTCACGTGGCATTACTGAATCCAACATATTCATTACCAGCCATTTTATTCATAAACTGCATCACCTATGAAAAAAAGCATCCCAATATTGAATAAAAAGATTTGATAAAAAGTACAACTATGGACTATTTTCAGATTCATAACTAAACTAGTTCAGGGCACAAAGGGTGAAAATACTCGAAGTATTCTATATCAGGAAACTTAATGCTTACATGACTGAAATTTTACGTAGAATCTGAAAGCAAAAAGATCTGTGTCCAACATGAGATTGTCCATCATGAAATCTAAATATGAAAATGATGCTTACTTACATAGTCAAATTTTTCTGCATTACTTACTCCTTGCTGAAAGGAAAAAAAAATAATTTACAAGAATTGTTAATGCATACAAATTTAAATAGTTAGAAGTTCACTTAATATGATTAGTTTTTTAATTGCATATAACTTTATTAAAGGCTTACAGGTATCAAGCTACTTGAGTATAAGTTACTATAATCATTTGATATATTAATATAGTATGAAATTAAATTACATAGAATAAATCATTTAAATAAAGGATCCAACTAGATCTTTTATCAAATACCTGTATGTTAGGAATAGATTCAAGCAGTAATCAAGGTATGCTTTATTTTAAGTTGTCTCTATTCAATACTCCATATTTACAATTAATAGTATATAGGAATATACGTAAAACATACAAGTTAATTGTGATCAATGTTATCACAATGAACACAGCATTAACTTTTTATAACTTGTAACCTAAAGATCTTATTTTATTCTAAACAAAGGAAAAGCGACGCTCCCAAGACTAAACATTGTTTCTAGTAACTCTTCACACTATGAATTTAATTCAGGTGGAAGACTTAAAATAAAGTATTACCCTTTACTATAAAAATAATGGCATTTAATTTAAGATTTCTGAGTTAAGGTAAATACTCTACACCCAACCCATGTAAACCCGATTAATTAGGTTAGCAAAATAGGTCTTATTTAACAGCTAACTCAACTATGATTTTAGAATCTTAAAACATCCAGTCACAACATATTCAAACACAATGAAGTTTTGCTAATAGCACAAAAAAGGGAGGCACCTACATTCTATTTCACCAGTTCTCTTGTTTAAATTAGTTCTTGGGTATCTGGTTTTTAGTATGTGGTCTTAAAATCTGGTAGCTGCCCATGAAAGATTTACTGGTTCTCTCTCTCAATTTCTGATAACTTATCTGCCACAAACTCCCTTGAGGGAGGGGTTG